CAGGACACCCCACTAAGGGGACGGATCGATTTCATACACAACACATCACACAACACACGGCCAAGCAGCAACGAGCTCTTGGCATCCTTTTGACTCTTCCATCGGAGACTTGGGACCTATCCCTCTCTCGACCGTTTGTACCCCCTACTACGAACATTTTTCGGTACTAATAACACGAGCAGCAGCAAACTGGACGTAGGGACATTCTGCCCGAACCAGTATAAACCTTGTGTCCTTTAGTATACCATCCGAGCCTAACGCGTAATAAATATAAATTTACTAGTTGGTATTTGTTCGAAACACCAATACGTATAATCATATGATTTCTGTAATCTGTTATTACTTTTCGGTTATCTCCTAGATCTAACCGACTTGTAACCCTGCCCCCGGACTATATAAGGCGGGCATGGACCCCCTCCAAACATACGCAATATCATACGATAGCCAATACAATCCAACAGACCACAGGAGTAGGGTATTACGTCGTGCTGACGGCCCGAACCTATCTAACTCGTGTGTCTCTATTGCCTTCTTATTCTCGATTACACGCATCTCTGCCGATCAATCTACATTCGTGGGATACCCCTTGAAGTACTGCCGACGATATTCTGTCGGCAGATGTGAAGACCCTTGCTCATTTTTCACTATACCCGGGAACCGATGTAGCGCGCCACTAAGAAGCGACGACCCGATCCTTGCTCACTTGACACCATGCCCAGATCGCGACACGGCGCATTATCAAGGGGGTGCCGATCCGGTCCTTGCCCATTTAACATCATACCCGGTTCCGATATGGCGCATCGATAAGAGAGTTACGCCCCAACGGTTTTCTTTCGGGTTTCATCTCCATTAGAATGGTTAGATTTAATATTGGCTCGCCATGCCTATCACAACCCTCCTCCTTTACCAAGGCTTGAGACCTGCTATGTTGAGACTACATAGGCGGAGTTCTTTGTCATAATAATAGCAAATATTTCAGATAAGATTTTTGTTGCATTAATGGCCATCATTTTTTATAAGCTGTGATACCCATCTCAAACCTGCTTCGGGTTTTACTTGGCTAAATATGTCGTGATGGTTGTCATGGAATCCACCTGTTTCTTCATATTTGAAATTTGCTGCCTGAACCAACTCTCCAAACTAGTCATTTCTTCAATAGCTCAAGCCCATGTCCAACTCCTCTGCGTAGCAGAGATACTTGTGACCTGAACACGATATCAGTTAGCTCATCTGCTTGGTAGTATTTAGCCTTTAACAATCCTGTACGCCCACTCTTGGCAACTAAATTAGTCACTGCACCTGTCTTGCAAGAAGAGCTTGATTAAATAGCTGCAATCTTGAAACCCAATCCCTCCACGTGATTTAGGCAATCTTGAAACACCATTTTGCTCCCATGTAACCAATGACCTTTCCTCTTGTCTTCTTAGCTGTGCCAAAAAATAATAATCATTAGGATAAATCTTCACAGATTTGAAAACATGCATCACCTATGTTGGCAGGACTTACGCTACTGATTTATGAAGGACCTATGTAGCACCCAAGGATAGACGCTTCTCATTCCAATCTGTCAATCTTCTTGCAACCATGCTTTAGCAATTAGCAGCCCAAACCGAACAAGACATGGGCGAGTTTCAATTTGCCGATGCATGCTAACTCAAGAGCTCTCTTCTCCGTCTTAACTGTCTCTGAAGTGGACTACGGTGTGAAGTACTTTGTTTTGCTAGGACTGCAGACTGCATGGGAAGTTTTGCGCCTCATGTGTTTTGCAGTGGTATCTTGACGAGCCGCCAATCAGAAATTGATGTGCCAGGCTTTGCATCCCAATTGTTGATGTGGTGCATCAAAGGAGATCTAACTGTTGCGGTTCTGGTAGATTTTCTTCAGCTTATTGTTGCAGAAGTGGTTCTGCAACCAGGTATCTTAGATGATCACAAGTGGCTAACCGAAGCTGGAGGTGTCTTGTCTACCAAATCAGCCTACAAATCCTTCACCAGTTTTGTTGAGTTTCAAACTTTTGGTGGTGCATTGACTAAGGCGTCTCAGAGATCCAATTTTTACATTTGCTATTCATATCCGATGCAAGACAGCCAACACATATGTCTGCAGAGGGTTTTTCCATTATCTAAAAAAACACATTCACAGAGGGTTACCTCACGCACAGCATTGTCCTTCTGCAATGAGTTTCATAGCATGTGACTTCACTTAGCATTCAGAGTTCTTCTTAGAGTTTGTATTAGTGTGTGTTTTGTTTGGTGTCTTGTGTTTTCATTTTTGTTGCTTTTTGTTTGGCTCTGGTATTTTTGTTTCTGTTTCTGCTGTTTCAGTTTGTTTGCCTTTGTATCAGTTGCCAAACCCTTTATCCTCCTGAATATAATGGCATGTAGCTCTTCAAAAAAAAATGCTGGAACCTTAAAGCTTTCATTCACTCTTAAACCCATATACTTCTCTAATGTGACCTTCTCAACACAGAGTATAGGTCATTGATTTCTTCACATCATCTTGGCACCAGTCTCCAAACATGATAGAACACTTAATCTGACATGTTCGTTATGTGTATTCATGCCTGCACCAAGCTCCTTACGTACTAATGCCTTTAGTTTTGAAACTTCATAGTTTCATAGCATTATATGCTCCTCGTTTGCTTACATTCAGAATGTTTTGCAGGTTGACAAGTAACACAATGTGCTAGCTTGAAGTGTGGAACTGATAACTGAGGAACTTTTGCAGCTTGTAGCTAGGGAAGGGGAAGTAAAGAGAGTCTCTTTTGGTCACTAGGGTTTGATTCAACTCCTGTATGCACAATGCACTATTGTGGAGGCAACTGTACTTGTAGATTATAATTAGCTTCTAATCCGTAGTTAGCATTGTTGCACACTGACTTGTCTCTGGTACTTTCAGTTGGATTTCCTCGTGCAGGTTGGTTGCATAATGCAGCGTTCTCTGAAAATGTTGACCGCCGTTTCTTCTTTTCTCCGACGTACAGATAATCTGTGTTGGGTGCTTGGGTTGTTATGGCTTCGTAGTTCACGTTTGATATAGTAGTTTATTACCGTTCCTCAGAGTTCACAGAGAAGCCAAACGGTTAGCTTCTTTTTATCCTGAAATTCTTATGAAAGCCAGTATGGCTGATATTACGCAATACACGGCCAAAAAGCGCACGCTCGCTAGCGTGAGGTCGATTGATGGTGCGACGACGGCCATCACAGGGGCTGCCGGGGCCCGGGGGTGGCTTCCATGATCCGGCTGCTGCGTGTCATGTACGTGCTCGGCAACACGCAAGACAAGAGCTCTCCCACCACCGGCGTCGAAAGCTCACCGTTTTACTGTTTTGGTTTGTTTATTTATCCACAACAAGCATCGATGACTATCAGGACTCACTGTTTTGGTTTGTTTTATCAACGTTGTTTTTTGGAGACAAAAGATACTATAAGATGGTACTATCCGGATGCTTTGCATATCTGATTGTTCTCTCTTTGTGATGGATGAAAATGCTTATTAAATTTCATTTTACGTAGAAACTACCGTAACAAACCCTGCATTAGAAGGGTTATATTTAAATTGACTCCTTTTTCTCTAGAAACTACTGATAAAAACAATGCACTGAGACTACCGTAGTAGTAAGAGCTGACCAGCCTATCGGACAAGTTTGAATTTGACTAAAGCATACTTCCTCCGTTTTAAATTGTAAGTCGTTTGACTTTTTTTAAGACTCCAAGTTTGACCACTCGTCTTATTAAAAAAAATTATGCAAATATAGTCAAATTTAAGTCATTCTTAAAGAACTTTTATTAATAAAGCAAGCCACGACAAAAGAAGTGATATTTTACACAAATTTTTGAATAAGACGAGTGGTCAAACTTGGTGTAAAAAATCAAACGACTTATAATTTGGGATTGAGGAAGTACCAAATAATTATTTGATCTGCCGCTGCTCTCCAGGCTGACGAGCGGCGTCGCCTGCCGCCAACAGGCAGCCCAACAATGAACCCTCTCGCCGTAGTCAAGAACAAGGCACAAAAGGCTTCAGCTTCACCTTCATGCTAAGTTGCTAAGAGCATCTCCACCGGACTGACTAAAACCAATCCTGTTTTTCTATAACCAACAAAAAGGAAACTAAATGCAAAGAATGAGCTCCACCGAATCCCATTTTCCCAAAAGTTTTCTTCAATCCCTCAAAATCTCCTCCGTCCCTCAAAAGAGGGGACCAAGCATCATTTTTTCTCAATGTTCTTTCCTACCTTCCCTCTCACTAGCATACGGCCCCCCTCGCGTCGACCAAGCTGCCGCACCGAGCTCGACGCCGGGAGCTCGCACTGTGAAATCCGCGCCCACGCCGACAAGCTTCGTACCACGCTGCTCCCCGTGCCGGCGAGCTCCACGTCTAGTTGGATGGCCAACGGGCCGCCATTGCCTCGCCATGCTACCGCCACGCCATGCCCCAACCACACCACTCCGCTATGCAACACACTAGGAGATTCGACGGGTTGAGCAGCCCTGCCGCCTAGACGAAACCAGGAGACTCACGAGGAGAGGAGAGAGGAGGAGAAGGATTGAATCTCACTTATACCTGTGCCCCATATCTTAGTAGATGAGAAAAGGTGTGGAGCTTTTCTCATTCCGCTGCGGCAAGCATCCCTTTCTCTTTTAATTTTGTTTTTTCAATCTCCTATATTGATAGCTCTAATACGAGATATATATCCTCGATATGAGGACACCTTTGAATTTTTATATGAAAACTAATTTTATAATATATAGTTATTTCCATTTAGGGTAATATAAATTTATAGGTATTGTCGGTTGGACTTAAATAATTTTGAGTTAGAAGAAACGACTAGGATATGTATTCGACAAGAGAAATGCTACGGTTCTAAAAAAAAAAAGAGAAATGCTACCGAGGCAAGAAAATTTACATCAAAGCAAAAAAAAAAAAAAAAAGCGCCGAATGCATAGTGACCTACTGGCGCCCCCAATTCTCTCCCGTTCGCCGCGGCGGCGACTCCAATGGCGACGAGATCCAAGCGACGGACGCCCAGGCCGCTATGCCTGACCGACCACCCCGACGAGGTGGTCCTCGAGATCCTCCGTCGCCTCGACATCCGCGACGCCGTCTGCACCTCCGCGCTCTCCCACGCCTGGCGCCACCACTGGCGTCATCTCCCTGTCCTCGATTTCAGAGACTGCTCCTTCGGCCGCCTCGGCGTGGCTTCCGCCGCCCAGTCTGTCCTCCGGCGCCACCTTGCCTTGGTGGACGCCTTTGCCCTCGATGCGCGTTCACCGCCGCTTCCCGAGGCCGACCACCCGCGCCTCGATGATCTGCTCGTCCATCTCTCCTCCCCTCGTCATCCCCTCGAGGCCCTCGTCCTTAAGCTCTCATCACACAAGCTGCACTCCTCCATCTTCTCCCACGTTAAGCTCAAGTACCTCGACCTTAAAGGTTGTCTGCTACCAAACTTTACCCCGGGTTTCTCGGGGCTGTGCAATCTCAAAGGGCTTTATGTGCATTACACTGCGAAGTTGAAGCACCATCTGAACTCAGCTCAGTTTGACATGCTCGCGGCTCTGATTTCTGGTTGCCCGGGGCTAGAGGAATTGGCAGTAAAAGTTGTCCCAGAGGTGGCTGGTGTGACGCTAAAGATTGCTGCACCTCGCCTTCGCCATTTGGAGATTAAAGCATGTTCCACTGGTTGGATGGTGGGGTTTGTGAGCCTGCTTCCCGATCTTGCTTGCGCCAAGCTCCAATTACCATTTTCCGCTATGCTCAGGAAGGGGGGGGTCAAAGCTTCTGCATATTTTCCAGGGCATTTCGCACGTGGAGGAGCTGGAGTTGCTTGATGGTAGTACCTTGGTAAGAAGATAATGGTTTCTTGCCACATGTTCGTCATTTGCTGGGTCTAGAGGAGGCTGTGGACGGAGCACCACTCGGCATCGCCCGCCATCTGACCCGTTATGGTCGGCTACTCGCAAAATCGGGCCAGGAACACAACTTCGACGCCACTCTTTACCTCCGTAAGATTGAGGATCCTGTTCCTACGACGGATCCAACACCCGATCATGCCCCTTCCTGATCCTCAGGAGGACCAACAAACACGGTGATGACTCGCCAGATTCAGTCCCCCCAAGCTACGGTGGAACCCGCCAAACCTCCCACGGAGGAATTTTAGAACCCAGATCAAACTAATTGGGATTGCAGCGATGATGACTTCGACCTCAATTTTGTCGGGGTCACCATTCGCAACCTTAGCCAGGGTGGCATTGTCCTGGACGAGTCGGACGACTCTGATCACGACGCCAAGTGGCAAGGCACAGGCACCTCTGGACTCATCAACCCTGCGAAGTTCTGTCGATTTCTTGACAGTTGCGACATGCAGCTCGAGAATACTGACTCAAACGACGACGACGATGACATCATCTCACCCCCGAGCATTCTCCTCGCAATCACTTCGACTACGACTACGTTGTCCCTTACGAGACCAGCCAGGAAGCTCGAGATCGCCTGCTTAATCACAATGACGTGTTAGCAGAAGAAAACTGGAAACTCCGGTGTTAGAGCCAGGAGCAAAACGCGGCCCACGGCCGTCAGGTCCACAATGACATCCTGCGGGCAGCCCCGCCGTTCTCTAGGGCCGAGCAGAACCTGGCTGAGGCTATGTGCAAGGTAGTGGCCATGCCGCAACCATCAACCGAGGAAGGACGCCAGGCGATCCGATGGATTCGAGAGCTGATGGTCGCCGCAGCCGATAGCATTCTAGCACCCAGCCACGCGTCTGCAACACGCTGCCAAGTGCTCCGAGCACACACCTATTTATAAGCTCCACGACGAATATAGTCGTTGGAAGGTTTGTTTCAGGCGGTTTTTGAGGTCACAAGAAAAGTCTAGTGACCACTAGAAACACCCACCATAGAAACAATTATGTACATCCAACAGTCCAGATCAATGATCTGACCATTGGCTACCTCGTTCTCTGGTGCTCGCTGGGGAGGTACCGCTGGAGTTTTTCAGTGACTCCCCAGAGCCTCGCCCACAGCAACTAGGCAACTAGCTGTTGGAAATCCTAACGGCTCTATTCTCTTTACTCCGGTGCCAACCACCAGAGTATTCCAGTGAACAGAAAACCTCTCTACATAAACCACCGGAGAGCTCCAGGGCACCATTGGATAATTCCGGTGACCTAGTCAAAGCATAGTTAGCTCAGAGCCTTTTGTCTAGTGACTGACAAAGACAAACCACTGGACATTTTCGGTAGCTGTTCAATAGCCTGAATAGTTAGCATAGTTAGGGTATTGCACTACCCTAAACTCCGATGACTCCCCCTCAAGAGCACCGAATGGTGAGTGTAGTAAAACTACACTAAGTCCCATCTCACAAATGCTTTTTTCAAGTTTGCCAACTCCAAATGTGTTCCAACATGAATTCAACTCCTTTAAGCACTGAGTTAGCTTTTCAAAAATATTTTTCAAAGCATTTTCACTTGCTTCCTCACTACGTCACTAGGTTCAATGCATATGCAAAGTTAGTTCAAACCTAGTGGCGCTAGATAATCATTATAGCTTTAGAGTTCCCTTCTTAATAGTATGACTATCTATCCTAAACCTGATCATACACTCTGTTGCATCTTGGCCGGAGAAATGAAAACCCCTAGCGTGTACCTTTGCCTTCAGGCTTGTTTTCATCTTCTTCTCCTGTCCATGGATTAGCCTTTGCTTCATATGGCTTGATCTCCATCACCATCATCTCCTAGCCTTGCTCATCACCATCATGCATATCCTAGTTCAATCACAACTCATTGAAAGCATTAGTCCACTAGCTGACACTTAGTTACCAAAACCAAACTTTTAGGGCTTTCAGAGGAGTCTCCAAGAAGCTTGTACGTGGGATCAAAACCCACAATACTGGAATGACGAATAGGCATTCACTAGTGGAGTGGGGTCCAACCATGTCTTTGTGACTTAGGTGGTCCAATGTGGATTAGGGGTTGTGGCAACAACCCGTCGCCACAGGAAAAATTTGTTTATCTCTTTTCCTTGCTATTTCTCTCTTGCATTTACTTCCGTTGCTTGCAAAAGTCTTTGTTGCATGGTAACTTGGATTCATGCTAGTGTGTGCTTAGCATAGGTTTCATTCTTATTCTTAAGTATCTTAATCTTTGTGTGAAACTTTGCTAAGGGCGTGGTTAGCTTGTTGGCCCTAAGGACTCACTAGTTTTCTTTGTAGAAGAACTTAGGAGCTAAGAATGTTTTGGGGTTTAGTTCTTGCATAGGCTAAGTAATGTTGCTTAAAATTTTTAGAGCCCAATTCAGCCCTTACCCCTCTTGTGCCATCGGTCCTTATAGAGGGTCTACCACTGGGAGGGAGGAAGGCGCCACGCCAAGGAGGCACTACCACCGTTGGGAGGGAGGAAAGCATCGTTGCGCCGCCACCTAGGGGCACCATGCATGTGGGGCAAGCCGCACTGCCACCGCTGGTGGTGAGGTGCAGAAGAGGCCAGTGCCCTGGGTGAAAGCCCGTCGCTGCTACTGTTGTGCATGATGCAGATGGGGAGGAGAGAGAACAGGGTGAAATGAGGAAAAATCCTAGGGTTTGGAGTCTATTTATACACCGTACAAATTGATGCCTATACTTTTATGGTTGTGGTACATATATTTTATGATTGTGTGGCTTTATTTACTGTTGCGGGATTTGACTCTTGCTAGTTGGTTACCAGGCATATATTTTACTACTGAGGGAGGTTATTTATGATTTTTGGTTTCTAGTATGCTCTTAATGCTTGCTTGCTTAGACACGGTAGAAGTTGGACTCATGATGGGTTTCTCACATTTTGGACGACATAGAAATTGCTTGACTAGTAATGAATTTTAGGAAGGAGCAATGATCAAAAACTTGGCGCACTTAATGAAATTAATGTGATGACTGGCGAGGGGTTAGGGTCGTGGCGAGACCAGGTTCCTGGATGATGTAACTTGCTTGACTGGTTAAGGATTGTGGCATCTGTTGTAACATGTTTCGAACACACCTTTTGTATAAACCACTTGCCATGTATGGGTATGGTAAGCCAAGTATTGTGTCGCGATCGGATAACCTCATGGACTTGACACGATTTGGGGTGCGGGATAGCTAGAAAGCTACTTTAAGTTATTTTGTAGGTAAGGACCCTCCTACCTATGGCTACTTCTATGCCCCAATCCTTCAGTGGACTAGGAATACTAGGAATAGGCTAGTTGACACTACGCCAGATTCCCTCTGTAGGATCGGGGGCATTTTTATTGTAGGGGCGGCTGAGGTTGGGGCGCGCCCCTCGATGGGCCCCTCGGCCCCCAGCTCAGCTCAGCCGCCTTTACACAGATGAGCAATCAGGGGGCGGCTGGTAACTGAGCCGCCCTAAGGTTGGGGGCTGATCTCAGGGGCGGCTCAATCACCACCACCCCTGCAGGTGTTTATTTGTAGGGCGGGTCACCACCACCACCGCCCAGCATTGATCAGAGGGGCGGCTGAATCATCAGCCGCCCCTACTGATGGCGCATGAATAAATAGCAGTCACTCCCTTCTTCCACCTCGGGACACACTGTTCTAAAAAAAGGTTGGGAGGCCTTTGGCTCCTCCTAAAAATTGCTCTACTAAGAGAGGAGGTTTTGATCTCAAATCCTTTGGTGGAGAGGCTCTAAAAGGTAAGAAAATGCTTCTCCAACTCTTTATTTGAAGTTTAATTCATTGGTTAGTGAGTAATTTGATTTTTGGTTTTCTCTCTCTTCCATGGAGCTTGAGCTAGTTATGAGTGAAATAGGACCCTAATTTTTACTATACTAGGGTAAATTAGGTAGGGAAGTAAGATTACACCCTTTGTTAGTACATCTTTGTTGATTTTAGTGTAGTATTAGTGAAGTTTGATGCATATGTCATGAAACCCTATATCTAGACCTAGAACTAGGATTTTGTTTTTTTTTCTTTTTAAATTTTTTCTTTATGTGACTAGGGTTTGCATGTAGGTGAATGTGTAAGATTTTAATTGTTGCTAATGTGTAAAATATCCTCTACTATGGCTACTACTAATTATCATTTAATATTTATTTTGATTCTTTTCTATAATGTGTGTTTTTAATTAGTTATGGATAAATAGGCCATTAATTAATTATCCTCTACCATGAAATTGGAATGGAGTTTGCATGAAAGGTAGTGGATGAAATATTAAATGTTGCTAATTGTTTTCTTTGAAATTGTTTATTTGAACCAATTAATTTATATTTTAAAATATTTATGCATTAATAGTCAATTAATTAACTATCCTCTACTACCATGGTGCATGTCTTAGGTATATACAATTATTCTCGAGTAATATTCTTTCTTTGGTTGTTTTGTTTCTATAAGATGGACTACAGGAACTCTTGGATGTATGGTTCGTTAAGACACGATGCTCTTTTCCGTGATGAGGTGGACAAATTCATCAAAACCGCAGAGAAGCATGCAGCGACGTTGAAAGATAATAGTGACACGATTATTTGTCTCTGCAAAGATTGCAAGAACCTTATTGCATTTCGAGATGTGAGTACCATCAAAGAACATCTGATTAGGAGAGGATTTGTTCTGGACTACACAGTGTGGATTCATCATGGTGAAACAGTGGTTGTTGATGACAGTGACGATGATCTAGCTGATGAAGCTGAAACCCAAGCATACTTGTCCCAATTCACAAACGATCTTGAGCAACAAATGGATCGTGACTATGGCAATCAACAAGGTGGTGACTTTGGCAATCAACAAGGTGGTGGCTTTGGCAATGAACAAGGTGGTGATGATGCTGGTGGTGCCAGCAATGATGGCGAAGCACGTGAGGGGGATGCAGATGACGGTGACAACTTGGAGCAGGGCATTCAGGCACTATGTCTAGGAACATAAGGGGAGGCATCATCCAAATAGAAAGGAAAAGTTGTATGTCAAAATTCTAGGTGAGTAAGTGTCATTTACTTTGGTACTCCATATATTACGTGTCTGCCAATAGCATTACTTAACATCTCCATATGCAAAACACACAGTGCCCCAAGCAGAAGCCTGGGAGTCTATATTGTGGATACTACACATGTATTATGATGAGTAGCATCGGTGGCTACAACAGAAACCCTAATCTGGTAAGTTTGAACCTCTTCACTCGTAGTATGAAAAGTTCGTATATGTTGTGATATAGTAAATCTAAACTTGTTCTCTTGTAGTTGGAGAAAGATAAAGACACGAGAAGGAACCCATACAAGGATGACGAGCTCTTAGAGATGGTCGGCGACCTTTGCAACTTTATAATGAACCAGATTGTGTACTATAAAGGCATTTACCATCATCTTCTTTCCGACTTAGGTAGTAATCCTCTATACCAACACCTTCGGGAGACTGATAGCCTAGCCCTAGGTCGTTGATGATAATGTGGACTTGTGGTATGGTTTGGATCAGACTTTGGAACGGTTTGAACTTTGTTTTGCATGATGGACTTTTGTGAATTATGACTTGTGATGATGTTCTAAATAATGGTCTTGTGTTTGTGGATGTATATATGTATATTTGTGGCGGTCAGATTCGAATTTGAATTGTGTGTGTGTATATATATATATATATATATAGATTTGAATTTGAATTATTTATTTTTTTCTCGAAAATCCAATTTGTAAGGCGGTTCTTGATTGAACGCCCTTACAAATACACACAACAAGCCCTTACAAAAGTCCTGAAAAGTCCACTACGGGGCGGCTGATATTACCAGCCGCCCCTAGAGGGCAATGCTGAGGGCGGCTGAAAATACCACCGCCCCTACAGAGAGGCACTGCTGCAGGCGGCTAGAAACCGCCCCTCAGAGGCACCCTCCGTGAGGAACATCACAGGAAAGGCGGGTGGTGCAGCGCCCCTCTGAGACTCTAGAGCCGCCCCACTGGTAATATTCAGTAGTAGTGTGAGAGACTAAGATCGCCTGTGTGGCATGAGTCATGATCCATGTTTCAAGCTCTTCCCAAACTTTCCTAGGGAATCAGGTCCAACTCCATAAACATTACGACGTAAAAAAGATGGAGTTTTGGTCCAACTCCATGTTTTTCGTGGATCTCCTCGGAGGGTACAGCCGGTCAAACCCTACTTCTCCCTTCCTACCTGTCCTCGTGGAGTTGGAGGTCTGTATTAATTGCCACTCAGACACACAATATGACACCGTTACTGATGGGTCGCCCACTCTGGGCCTTGGTAGCGTTTGTTGGGCTGGATCCTTCGACTGGGCCTTCTCGAAGCGTGCTGCTGCTTGCCATGGCCAGCTACGTTTCCGCCATCTTCTCCGCGATCTTCACCGGCAGCAGGATCCCTTGGTGTCGTGACACCCCTGTAGGCTTTGATTTTTTTTATGTGTGAAGTAATGTGATGACCAAACTTTGGTTGTAAACTTAAACTATGATTGCCGTTACACCTCTTGTCCTGAGTTATCTCTTCCATCCTCGCCGAATGGTGCTACTGGAGATGCCTCAGATTAGTTGGCTCCAGTGTTGGCCAAGGATGCCAGATCAACTTAATCTGATTAATTGGTTGGTCTCTCTCTGCCCTCAGGTGTGTTTGCTCGGTGCCCTCAGGTGTCATGGCATCAGGATGATTGTGGGGGCATTGGGAGTTTCCAAGGAGCAACTGAGGGATGCACTCTTGGAAGGTACAGATAGACTGATCTTTCCTCTTATCATCAGGCAACCCAGATTGAGTTTTCTCTGAATAATGCTGACAAAGTTGACGGAAGTACTCTAGTGTTTATTACTTGTGGGGGACCTTCGAATTGGTTGTTGTGCCATTGACCATGTTTGTAGCATCACATGGTGCCTTGTTGATTATGAGTTACATGAGTGATTGTCTCTGATAAACGATGGGGCCTTACCAATGGGCCACATGGCATGCCCCTCCTACTGTCATAAGTTTGAAAAACCAGAGTTACACAGCCCGCTTTCATTTTAGGTGCATTGTCTATTTCATAGAAAGAGATTGCATTTAGGGTACCATTGGAGCATTTATCTATGGACAACTATTTCTATTAGAATGATAGACTTTGTTACCTTATTTATCATTAGTCATGTATGGACAATTATTTGTATCCAAAATATGAACACCAATAAATTAAATGAGATTATAATATTTGTTTTTTACTTGGCTGAAATATTTGTTTTTTACTTTTCTCCAATAAATTAAATGAGATTATAATATTTACACCATATTTGAATTGGTAAAAAAATGCAAGGATGATGCACGTGGCTGCGAGCAATTGGGCGGAGGTGGCATACACCAAACATCAATCGCCGGGCATAGTAGACCTTTCCTATAGCGAGCCTTAGAGGAAAGAGAGGAGCGAGCTGCTTCGCGCGTTAAAGGACGAGGACAACGTCGCGGCTTCGGCAGCGTCTTCTCGAGCTCGGAGCTGCGCAGTGGAGTTGGTGTCCACGCGCATGAAAAAGTGCGAGCCGCTGGGCGCAAACTCGCTGCTAAGATCGTAAGTGTGGCATGAGTCATAGATCTATGTATCAAACTATTTTATGAACTTCCCCTTGTTAGGGAATCACTTCACCACGATTAACATTACGACGTATTGCAGTGGAGTAGTGTTACATCGAGCAATCGCTCGCCCCGATCTCCTCCAGCACAGCCGGTCAATTCCTACTTCTCCCTTCCTACCTGTCCTTCACGCTACCTGCTCTGTATTAACGTTCTCCAGACGCACAGATATGACACCGTTACTGATGGGTCGCCCACTCTGGGCCTTGGTAGCGTTTGTTGGGCTGGATCCTTCGACTGGGCCTTCCCGAAGCGTGCTGCTGCTTGCCATGGCCAGCTGCGTTCCCGCCATCTTCTCCGCGATCTTCACTGGCAGCAGGATCCCTTGGTGTCGTGACACCCCTGTAGGCTTTGATTTTTTTTTATGTGTGAAGTAATGTGATGACCAAACTTTGGTTGTAAACTTAAACTATGATTTCTATGTTAAATTTAACTTGTGTGAGTTATGTACTTATGTGTGGTTAGCACGAATGGTGCTACTGGAGACGCCTGGATTAGTTGGGTTGAGTGTTGGCCAAAGGATGCCAGATCAACTTAATCTGATTAAATGGAGGGTCCTCGCTGTCTAAATCCTAGGCTTTTGATCCGGTAACAAAGCCATATCACTGCTAACGCAATTGTCCAGTAGAGATTGTACGTTCTGCAGTAGTGTTGGCCGTGCCAAATCTTTCGCTGGTCACAGTGCTGTCTCGGCCGCCCAAATTGGCCAGACAGGCGTCGAATTGATCTGGAGATTAGTTACACCAGCCAGCCAAGCGCCCAAGCCAAACAACGGCACATCACGTCCAAACGCTGCCGAGCCGCCACCGTCAACGGCCGAAATTAGGCCTGGCCAGCAGGGTATCCATCAAACAGCCCCAGGTGCTTCAGTCTCCTTTGAGAATAGCATTATTACTGCGTGTTTAGTTTTGCTGTCACCAAAGCATAATCGAACAACCAAGCATTATGGTACACATACACGTGTTTAGTTTTGCTGTCGGCTAATTATACGAGAAAGCATACATGTGCATTTGGTTTGATGAACAGTGATCTCAAACCTAGTGGTTTCTTCAGCCCAGACCAGCGAACGGAAGCAATTATTATATTTACATAGCGAGCATACAATTCTTTGAAGGACCGAACCCCATTAATAAGATCTACATAATCTTGCCCTGGTTGGCTTCATAATCGCTACCACTCACACCAGCAATACTTAGCACATAGTTAAAACTGGATCCGACCCTACACAATCACCTACGTTTCCACATCCATATGACCTTCCCTTCGCCGCTGGGCACCGGAGCCATATGCATATACATGTACGCTTCGAGCTCAGATTTGGCTGGTGTGAATGCATATACATACACCAGCAGAATTGTTGTCACCTTATTACCAGTTCAGCGGCCCCCAAGAGCCTGGGCATGCATGATCAGTTGTTCATTGCCCACCTCGCCCTCTTTCTCTTGCGAGCTGATCTCTTGAGGGTTCCCCAGAAATAAAAGTTGCAGCAACTGATCTCGCGGAAGCACTCGTTACAGCTTCTCCTAATCTGTCCGCCGCCGCCAAATATTGTCGTCCAGACCAGGTAGAGCGCAAACAACAGCGCAAATCCCACCATGGACAGCACCCAGCCTGCACCACGTGCAGGCTGCAGCGGCCGAGTAATGCCGCATAGGCTGGGTGGAACAAGTCGGAACACGCCTCCGGCGGCGAGGACGAAGGCGTCTTTGCTGCTGTCCTCGCCCAAGGACAGCACACGCCCAGTGATGCCGATGCCGATGCCGTTGCAGGGCAGAGGGCTGCTCCTGGAGCACCTCACGATGGGAACCTGAGCAGAGGCGCGGCGCCCGTTGCTCCTGCTGTCAAGGGCATCCACGCCGGCCCACACACTGGAGGCATAAATGTACAGATACCTACATTCAAGCATGTAATGTAACACGATCAGACATGTGAGTACAGTGTACCATGTTCAAACCAATTACACAGCAAAGTGATGTGTTTATCATCTCTGTACCTTCCTTTCAGCAAGGGATCTGCAGACCCTCTGTACACGAGACCACCAACGATTGATGGCATCCTGCCATCAGCAGGACGGCCATGGTTGATGATGTTGGAGACAGTCACCTTTGAGGAGCCACTGTAGTTTCTACCACTCGTGATAAGATACACTAGCTCGTACCGTTTCTGCATATCAATTTTCAGGCGAATTCAGATTCAAATCAATAGTTATCCAGAATGAATGCTCAGTGAGAAAGATAAGCATGTAGTATATCTGTACCTCATTGACGTCCGCACAGTACAAATAGGAAGGCCTGTTGGAGTCAAAACTGCATCCGCTTGGGTTGTTCAGACCCGTGGCAAAGATCTCCGGCTTGTCCATCTTTGGAGTGGCACGATTGCTTGTCCATCTGTTTTCTCCTGGAAATCACAGGTAGAGAAATGAACCTGAGACCACAGAGCAACACACATGTTGGTACATACGGGCCTGTTGAAACGTTTGCCTACCTGGCATACCGCCGACGTAGAACCTTATGATTTTACCAAAAAATGACCTCCCGTTCTTTGAGAGATCGCCATTTCCAGTGATGAGGTAGAGGTATCCGTCACTGTCACTTGGCTGGAACAGGATCTGTCCGCCATGATGCTGGTAGGAATATGATGTGGGTGGGTGGGGCAAACCCAGGGTGAAGATCCTCTTCACTTCAGATGGATAAGCGTGAGTTGCCTAACAAATTAAAATCATGCAGATGGGCAGAAAATTAATTAGCAATAATGTCGATCATGAGCAAAGCACTAGGGAATCCTTGAATCTTCAGGCTCGCTCCTATTTCTATGTAGTACTACTAAAAAATCTAGACTCGTTTAGGTGAATAAAACTCACAGAAATAGAAAGTGAAATCTGTTACCTTGGAATAGTCAGTGCCACCTTTAGCAGAGAACTCAGAGACGACCAGCTGATATCTGCACAAACGGGAGCCATTTCCGGCAGCAGAACCCCAGCACCTGCCGTCACCACAGACCGGCGAGGTGCTGCTGTCACAGTTGTAGGAGACGAAAAAGCGCCCATTGGTGGTGAAACCTGGGTGAAACGCCACGCCCACCAGTCCGAGCACCGCATCATGGTGCACTCGATCCGTGATGTCGAGGAAAGGACTGTCAGCACGCAGGGCGCCTCCAGAACCCTGTTCAGGCATTGAGGCCAGCCAGATCTTTCCTTCTCGGCTGGACAAGAAGACTCGGCCTGAGCCGTCTGGGTGAGCGGCCATGGTGACGTAGGATCCTGCGCTGATTCGCTCCAGGCACAACGTGTCCTGCTGCCATGGCAGCCGGGTAGTAGGGGACTGGGGCTGGCGCTGGGCAGAGATCGACGACTGAATAGACTCGCAGAGGAGAGGAGCCGCGAGCTTCATGGTCGTCGAGGAGTCAGCCGAGTTGAACAGCATGGCCGAGAGGGATGGCACACATCTCTGCATGAGTAATTGGGAAATGTCAAACCACCAGTATTTGTCCATGCAGGCCTTATCAGCTAATTGCAGATCATCGAAAATGTGCTTGTGTTTTCATGAAAAGTTGTTTTTCTTCGAAATCTCGTAGCATGCATTTTTTTTTTCCAGACAACACACCTCAAACCTTTTACAAACACTAAACGCTATATGAACACACATGACACAAGCTCCGCAGGCACCCCATATATTATGCTGATGTATGTGCATTGACCCAATGGAAACCGATTCAGATGCATCTGCAGGTTTGCACAAAAACTTACAGATATACAGTTTTGAGTAGAATTTGCAGCCATCATTCATATATCGACTGAAAGATTAGAAAATAATTAATTAAAACGTGCGCATACCAACTGCTCGAACATGTGTGCTTGTCAATCAATCAGTTGTCCCTGTACTAGATTAGTGCATTGATGCGAAATTCTTTGAGACTTTTGACCCAATGGAAACCGATTCAGATGCATCTGCAGGTTTGCACAAAAACTTACAGATATACAGTTTTGAGTAGAATTTGCAGCCATCATTCGTATATCGACTGAAAGATTAGAAATTAATTAATTAAAACGTGCGCATACCAACTGCTCGAACATGTGTGCTTGTCAATCAATCAGTTGTCCCTGTACTAGATTAGTCGATAAAGGATGCCGAAATTTCGATAAAGGATGCCGAAATTTTTTTTGCGGAATTAAATGAAAATAATTGGGCTGTAGCTGTTCTAGTTTTGAGTTTTTTTCATTTATCAGATGTCACACCCGTAGTTTGATTCCGAACCTATCTTTTATAATGGCACACAGGGAAAAGTCTCAAATTCTTTTCAGCTGGGCTGTAGCTGTACCTATCAGATGTTTCCGAACCTAGTATCAGTCCAATCACAGGACCAGCGAATGAAGATCCAGATGAACAACAGGAGACAAGAGTCAAGTAGTATCCACAGCATGCCTTGGAGGCAGATGTGGTGGATTTGTTGGCTGCACGACTGTAGTCGCGAGCCATTCCAAGTTTCCAACCCCACACCGCTGAGGCGCGGGGAGCCTGAGAGGGAGAGGGGATAGAGTGGAGTCATAGAAGCTGGACCTGGGCACGAAACGGCGGGGGACGGTGGATCCAACCAAGGCGAGTGGCGCTGATGCCGCGCCATGGGTGGATCCGGACACGGCACGGCAGGGGCGCCGGCGGCGCAGACGGATCTGGCCATGGTGGCGTAAGTCTGCTGGCGGGGAACTGGTGCAAGAAGAGGCGGAAGAGGAGAGAGAGAGAGAGACGGGAAGGAGGGGAAAGGTAGATGGGGTTTTGTTGTTTAATAATAACTAATATATATTTATTTTATACTTATGTATACGTATACATATACATACAGTGTAGACTGTATAGTGTACAATACCCACACCACCCCTTTGGGATGAGCAGCTGACCTGCTGATGTGATAATCTCAAGGCACATCAAAGATTCCATCATTGCATGTGCTGCTTTTTGTTGGTGCGGTGCGGGGAATGGTCCGCACTCAGCCGCATATACGTATATACAGTATCCATCATCCGATTATTCATTTGATGCCAGCATACACAGCAAATGGCAAAAACTAAAAAGAAGAAGAAGAACAAAAAAAAAGGTGAGAGAGAGGGAGTGAAACGATGGTGAGTGATAAGTGGGCCGGAGTCGCCATCGATGACGAGGAGGATCGAAGCACACTTTATTACCGTGCAGAGGAAGGCCTTGACGATGGCGGCGCACGTGGCGTCGGAGATGCGCATGCCCTCGAGCTCCGCCCTGAGCCCCGCGTCGTCGGCGGCGTCGCAGCAGCTCACGCCGCCGTCACCGCCGCAGAATCCCAGCGCCTCTCCAAGCACCACCAGCTCCCCTGCGGCGGACAGGCTAACATATTTTTTTAGATAAAATGGACAGGGCAACACATACAGCTAGCGAAGCAAGCAGGATCGACGGCCACCAAGGAGCAAGGAGCAAGAAGCAAGAAGCATGCATACGCAATCACAGCGCCACAGGCAGCAGCTACTCACGTGAGCCCGCGCACACCGGGGCGCCCGGGGAGGCAGCGGACGTGGACCAAGCACCGGAGAGCAGGAAGAGAACCCCGAGGAGGCGGAGCGCAGGCGCCACAGCCGCGCGGATTGCCGCCTGCTCCGTCGCCATGAATCCAATCCAATCCAATCCGATCGATTGAATGGAATGGAAGGAGCAGGTGACACCGTGAGCGCGCGAGGCTGGGAGTCCGGCCGGAGGGACCGGTGTTTATATACAATCGGGAGGGGAGAGAAAAAAAATGGAAACGCGTTCTCTACCTGAATCAGCGTCCACCTTACGCTAACACCGTGACTATGTTCTGTGCAACGAATGTTCCACTTTTTTAGCAGGCTCTAACACTGTTAATCAGCGTCCACCTTACGCTAACACCGTGACTACTGGATCATCTATAAGGATGGCAACGGGATATACCCGTCGGGTATCGCCGAAACGCTCTCTTCCCCGCTACGGAGAAATCATTCCTCTCTCCGTCGTTAATGTATAGATTCACGTATTTTTTAGCAGGGATAAACTGTCTTTGCAATCGGAGACGTTAATGTTAAAAGGTGGATGCCGAGGGATAGTAAGAGCAAAGGTCCTAAAAAGTGTATGGTGGAGATGGTGAGAAAAAATTGAACTAGGGTTCCTAGAACACATAAACTATATATATGATTGTTCAGATTTTGGCAAAAATACCTATGTTGAGCTTCTTTAGGCCTAATACTTGCATGACAGCTCAAATAGTCGGGTTCCCCAACGGGTAACGGGGACGGGTAAACAGGGAACGTTCCCGTACCCGCTATATCCATCGGGTATGCATTCTTGTCCATTTAGATGCCCGCGGGTAAAGATATGATCCCATCCCCGTCCCCTAATGGATCAAATACCCGTCGGGTATCGGGTATCGGGGCCCCGTTGCCATCTTTAATCATCTAGCACTGCTGTTAATTATTACGTGCAACTTAATGTTCCACTTTTTTAGAGGCTCTAATAAATTAATTTTTGCTTGTTGGTTTTTAACAGTGTTTTCTCTCACAACAAACCAAAGCACCACCAAATACCAATCAAACCAGCCCACAAACCAACCAGCGAATATGCCGTCTATCTGTTAATAGGTGTTAATAGGTGGTTGGATAGTGAGTCGAAAGTGTATATGAACTATTAACATCTAGTAGCAACTTTAAATCTGCTAATGAAAATAATAGTTAGCAACTCTCTAGCTAATAATTAGCAGGTCTATTTGATCCATTATATTAATTTTATATACTAATTTTCAGTAGATCCAAACAGGCTTTTAGTCGGTAGCATTACATTAAAAATACAGTACGGGCCCCTTCAAGCACACCAGGTCGGCGCAGTGGTGAGGACCCTAAGATTCCAATTGCCCTCCCGAGTTTCCTCGCTTTCCCCTCTACCCAACACAACGATCCCGGATGCCATTCTGGGTTCTCGAGTCTTCCCGATTCCTCTGTTTGGGTTCTCGAATCTTCTCGATTCCTCCTCTGTTTGAGTTGTCGAGTCTTCTTCTCAACTCGTCAACACAGGCCGTGAGGCCCATCTCAACCAGGCCGTGACGGGATACTGCTCCTGTGGGTTGACCCAAAATTAAAAACCAAAAAGTTCGATATAAATACCCCATCTGGCCGGCCCACTGAAATTTGGTTCCAAGCAGTATCGAGCAGCCTGGGTATAAGTTGGTTTAAAACTCAATCGCGCCACCTGAGCGGCTGAGCCTTTTTGAGTTCCCCACCGAGCGGCGGCACCGCCTCGGCCCGGCCGTCGCCACTTGCCAGCCTAGCTCGCGCGTCGCGCCGCCCGTGCGCACCGCCGACACTCAACGACGACGCCAACAAGAAGGCGCAGGCGCAGGCGCGAGGCGCGAGATCCTTTGGACCAGGTGCGCCATCCCCTCCTCTGTGCCTGACTTGTTCGTAGATGAGACGCGAGCAGCCGCGCCCATCCCTGATCCGCGTCCGCAAAGGCAAGAGGCGCAAATCCTGTGGAAGGACACCGGCCTGGTCTGATCTCCGCGTAGCATGCTTCAACTTATACCATCTACACTGCCACTCAGCGTGCAAATTAAAATCGATTTCCCCATGACTGAGATCATAACATTATATTTGCCTGCATCATGCAATGCAATTAAGTCGATTTCCCCATTCCGTTCCAGTAATCTTATTTATCTTTTAAATATAATGTTAGGATCATGTTTTGCTTGTTTGATTTGTGCTCCAACCGTTGGAGAGCATGTGAGGAATTAGCTAGCATATGTTCCTTGGCGATGCGCTGCTACTGCATAGAAGTCTGTGGTTGCTCTAGAGCTGATGTGCAGCTTCAATGGTATGCAACTACTTTAATATAAGTGATTACATTTAATTACCAACCCTGAACATGTCGTTTCATTGATCTCACTGTCAGCTGTTTGTGTAAATTAAATGTCTTACCAATTACTAGCAAGCTAAGCGAGGGCTATTGTGCATAGGCATGCATACAAGTGTAGGGTTGTTATATTTCACTGAAAAAAATTATGACAGTCCAACACAATGGTCTATATGCTCTGTTCGTTTCTAGGTATGTTCTCCTTTGTTGGAATAATATGAATACTAGAAACACCTGTGCGGCGTTGCCGCGCCCTTTCGATCGTATGGAAGCTGAAGTCAGCCTGGGTAACCTCCATTGGTTCCACAAGGGCTTATGTGTGTCTTCAATCCACTTAATTGCCTTTGGTGAAGCCTTCTGCATTATGTTGTAATGGTACTGATAGTGCTGTTGATTGTATGCTCTTCAGGCCACAGTGTACCTGCTCTGAAAGTTCACTCTCTATGCTCAACTCCATTGGAAAAAGACTGATGTGACTACATGGTCAATTCCTTTACCTGCATCAGTAGAGATTACAAGGCATGTAGGAGAACCAATTGCAGACTGGAGCTTCTCAAAGAACTATTTCCAGCATTCATCACACTCTGATTCAAATACACCACACCCCATCCACTAAAGCAAGTTGCCCTCTCCAACAACCTGTCAGCACTGTTGAACCACACCAAGGAAGGGTCTGCGTCCATTTAGAGTGTGTTTGGATTGAGGGTCCTTGTCGATTGAGATGAGTTGGACCAAGATTTGGTAGTGTTTGGTTGGGGTGCAAGTGGGTTGGATTCATCCTCACAGGGATTATACCTCCGGTACCTCCAAAACGGAGAAATCGTTTCGACCCAAATGAACATTGTCCTCCGCTGGCGAGCGCAAGCACAGGGACTGCTTGATGCTGCCTTCTCCATCGCCGAAGCGGGCGAGCTTCGGCGCGGGCTTTTATGTAATACAAAAATACAAATTTTTTTCTTAAAACATTGCTTTGATGATTTGTTGCATGTAGTTTGTAGGTCAAACTAAGTCAACCCTCTCACTTTCTTACCTTGTTTACCAAAACAAAACCCAATAAATTTATTTGGATTGTAAATAAACCCTTTTTACTAGTGTTGTCAACGACTCACACTGAACACATTTATAATCCTCTCCCATTCAAAATACAAAAGCCTCATATGAAAAGTGTGCTAGCTCTCTCACACCTTATTCTATTTTGTGAAAATCCCTTATGGAAAATCTTTAAAATAAAATTTCCCTAGTCACGACCTCGACCAAGGCAAGTCATCATGACAACACTATGCTACTTTCAAAAACTAATGTGTCTTTCTGAAAAGATAAAATAAGTTGAATTTAAGCTTCTGCTCAAATTAAACACAAACATATTTCGAAGATTTTTCATGCAATAATAATATGATGCATTGCGTGTATATAGTGTATATGCATGGTGGAGTACGTGCTATGTGTGATTTGGACCGGCTTTCGGAATTAATTGGTTCAGTGAACAAATGAACTCGAACTGTTACTCGAATTCATTTGAAAACCTATTTTTCGAAACTAATGATCCTTCAAAGGCCCTATATATCAACCACGTTAACAGTTCATGGACGCCACTCTTGCGTGCACGGCACGCCCATCTTTGGGTCGGGCAAGCACGGGCGTCGTCGTGCTCGATCGACGGCCTAGGCACGGCGTCGGGCTGACCGATGGCCCGGTCGGCATGCTGAAGCACAACCAATTCAACGTGCCGGGCTGGCCTGAGGCCCACGAAGGAGCGGCCACCGCACACTGTCGGAGGAGGCCTGTAGCGCAGTGACGGAGTCGGAGAGAGCCTCCGCCGTGCGATTGCTGCTGGCGGGCGGCGCGTGGAGGAGGAGGCGGATCCGCTGGGGTGTGGATGAGGAGGAGATCGGATCCGCTTGGGACGAGGGATGAGGAGCCAAGGTCGCGTGGCGCTCGACGCTGCCTCCGTCGCGGTTGCGTGGGAGGGCGTGGAGGAGGCAGCCGAGGTCGCGTGGTCCAACTCCAGGTGCGGCGTCGTGTGAGGGAGGGACGGCCAGTCCGCTCCGCGTCGCGACTCGCGAGGTAGCGGTTACGAGGGGAGCGTGCGTGAGTGTGCTGGAGATTGGAGGAGATGGGTGCGGATGCGGTACATGATGAAGCTAGGGTTAAGGATGGAAGTTGGGCTGCTGGTGGGCTGTCTTTTTTAGCAAAGCTGGTTGGCTGGTGGCCTGTGGAGGTAGCGATCGGGCCGACACCGGACCTGGCTTCAATAGTCGGCCCGGGCGATGCCGCCCGGCGTGCCTGTGCAGCGGCCCAGGCACGGCATGGTGCTCGGGCCGGGCCAAAAAACCAGGCCTTGTGCCGGGCCATCGGGCCACGTACGGGCTGCATGCCCATATATACTCCTTTGACACTGATCCTCACGATCGAGCTTGCTACGCTATGGCGCGCTCACCACTGCACCACCACGTACACACATGCCTGGGCAGCCGTCGTACGTGAACAACCCGCCGCCCGGTGGAACGCAGCCCCTGGCTCAGCGGCGCTGCGCACCATGACGCGCGCCCGCCTCGCTCGCCTGCACTCGGTGTCCGAGCGCTGCACGTCGTCGCGCGTACGTGCGCACTGCGCACACTCGTAGCGAGCCCGCGACCACGGCACTCACGTGCGCGGCCGCAAGGACAAACCTTGTCGACTGGAGCCCTTGAAAGCCCCTCGTGCCTAGCCAAGCCCCGAGCAGCCTAGGTGCACGCACCAGTCACCGCGCCGTGTGCAGTGGATGCGAATGGCTGTGATTTGATTCCTTCCCCCACCTAGATGACTGACGCGTGTCTACCACTTATCCAATTAAGCACTGCTAAACCAAATCAGTGCACTTACGTGGCACTGTTAAACTCTGTAGTTCGACGGGGACCGTGTACGCGTAGGCGTAGCTAGCTATTTTGGGTCCTGACGCCTCGCGCGCTCTGCCTCTGATGACGGTTCGAGGGTTTGGGCTAGCGCAGCGCCGCCGCCGCCAGGCATCCCTCGCGCAGCTCCGCCGGCAGGTCGCGCGCCGCTGCGTCCCCGACCCTGAGGGGACGACGCCCGCATCTCCGAAGCCCCCCCGTGAGGACTCTCCCGCTCACCCCACCAGGTGATTGTTCCGGCTGCTCCCCTCCTCTCCTTTGGTTGGAAGCTGAAGATTCTAGGATTCATGTCTACCAAATCTACGATCTAGGGTTCTTATTTGCTGTAGCTTCGTGGTGAAACGTTCTTCATGAAATTCATGTTGATGGTCCAATGTCTACACAATCGGTCTCTCATGGTCTGAATGAAAGCTGCTGCAAGCTTCCTTGCATGCAGGCCACTCCGTGCAAATTTGCTGCTAAGCTAGTGCATTCTCTGACGGACTGAATGACTGCATACTGATTTTTCAGACCTGCTGCTGCACGGTGACATCAGGCAGTGTGGAAATTGCTACCCCAAGAAAGAAGGAGACACAAGGAAAGGTGTGCGTGGTAGAACTAAGGAATAGATTTATCCCTTAATGCTGAGAAATGTTGAATCAATCTGTGTTAATTCAAGTTGGTAGGGTTCGCAAAATGTCATATTACTTTACCTTTCTTGCGCCTCCTGTTGGCCGCCCGTACGTAGGTAGCTCCAATCGGAGACAACGATCTGATGCACAAGGAGGGGCACCAGGAAACCACTATGGTCCCGGGAACTAGAACGGTTACGAGTGAGATACATTCCTAAAAAGCCACGGATAGATAGATATCGGGACACATCAAAAAAGAAATTTGTTTCAGTTTATTGAGGCGGTCGCTATACATGAGTTTCTATGCGGGTGAGAGTACCTGTAGGCAGTGCAGTTTATTTTTTGGTTCTGATTTGATGCGTCTTTGTCTGTCGATAATTTACAGTCTTATCTACATAGATTGAGTCTTTTTTATGTTTCGCAAAGGAGCAGGTGGTGGTTTGTGTCCAGATATGCCACACAGAGGTTCTTCTTCGCGTTCTGGAGTGGCGTTAGGCCGCAGCAGCAGCGTTTCCGGACATGCAGCAGAGTCCTTTCAAGATACATACAGACCCGTTTTTCTGCGTTGATTTGTCGCATATATTTTTGATGGCCAACACTAAATCTGTTAATTTTTTTGGGTTTTGTTGCTGATGTTTATGCAGTGAAGTGAATCTAGGCTGGTCTTTGTCTAACACCACAGATGAAGAACCAAACGATTCTGAAGATGATGTTGTATGTTATCTTCATTTCTGTTATTTTTTGTGTGGGTTAAAAACATGTATCTGTATTTTTTGTATTTGATTGGTGCTGGAATGATTTTGTTTGCTACGTACCGCAGGCGAATAACACGCCTCATTTCGAAGTTTATTTATTCAACACATTCTGTCACTCTATGGTGAGTGCTGTAATGCAATTTTAGTGGCATGTCTATGATGGAAACATGGATTGAGTATAATATAGTGGTTTATCATTTGCTTAGGATTTCCCACCGATAGATGAAATTGTTGGCGACAGCCGGTGGGTTGTTATTAAGACTGAGCATGATCGCTACTTCAAGTTTTACATGGTTCAAAAGGATGGCTATTTCTTGCTTCATCGTGGTTGGGAACTTTTAATGGCTTCTGAAAATCTAGAGGAGCAGCAGATGGTCATGTTCGAGATGGAAACCCAGGACAGTTTCTATATATGGAATAATGACACATCGTGATATAACCCTCCAATCGTTTTCAGTCCAGGTACAATTGAGTGTTTAGTGATTTCTATATTGGCACTGCTTAGTATATGGGAATTTGTTTGTGATAACGATTGTTTTTGTAACCACATATTTGTGAAAGTACTGAAATAATTAATTCTTGATATAACTTGTAGCGAGGAGCACCTCTTCTACTGTCACCTGGAGTGGCCGTGACTATGTAGTAAGCTCCAGCACTGCGTTGACACCTGCAGTGTTCCGAGCCATGCATGAAGTGTTGTCAGCTTCTTCAGTATACAGCCCAATGTTTGTGTGCAGTCTACTATCTACCCCTACTGAAGGATGGTGCCTGGTTTGTAGTCTGTTCTATTGCTGTGCTTTTATATCTATTATGAATTGTACCGTAGTCCCTTTCTAGGTTACTAAAAGGTACCCGATCATTGTCTGCTACTTACAGTTCTTTTCAAAGGAATATTCCAATTTGCTGCCGTAAGGAAAAAGGCAATGTGGCTATGCGATTTCTTGGGTCACATGTTATCATACCTGGAGCCATTTGGGGGATGGGATTGCTAGGATTTCAAAGGGGTGGCCTCTGTATGCGCAAGAGCACAATTTATGTAATCCATCGTGGTCCTAGTGTCTGGGAAATGATCGGATGTTGTGCTGGTCGCTTAGCGTAGCAGGCATCTATGCTAGTCTAATCTTTTCTGTAAGGTGTGGATCCAACTGATGGAAACTTATGTTATGTGTACTGGAACTGAGTTTATCAACTGGTTTCTGATATCTGTTACTTGTTTGCTATTTGTATGTCATGTGGCCTCTGTGTATTATAAGTCTTGCCACCCCACTGTCAAATGCAAAAGATAGACTGGGAGACGTCTTATTGGGTGCTTTGCGCTGTCACATGCTTCTTAATCAATTCACTTAGATGCTGCATCAATTCACTCAAATCTGGCAGGTGTGCAATAATGCCAGTCAATAGGTTTATGTGGGACCTAAATGCTTAGGGATAATATGATATACTCCTTCCGTACTAAAAAAAAAAAAGTCGTTTTGGACAAGGTTTGAGTCAAACATTGGGAATATAAATCATGAATAACTTTTAAGTTGTTGAGTTTGAAAATATGAAAACCATATTGTCGGTGTTTTGGACCGGGGGGGTCCTCAACCGACGAGTGAATTTGAACTGCGTGCCCCTAGTTCTGGATGGTAATGCAAAGAGACACAAGGTTTATACTAGTTCGGGCGATAAGTGCCCTACGTCCAGTCTGAGAGAGTGATTTTGTATTCCTTGCACCGAGGTGCTTGTAGTAGGGGTTTATAAGCAGGTCGAGAGAGGGAGCTAGTCCCAAGTCTCTGTGGGGAGCGATCGTGGGTTGCTTGAGATCTTGATTTCAGGCGCGAGGAGGAGTGTGTTACAGGGTGCGTTTACGCGTGAGTGCGAGCGTGGTTTCGACATGTTCGTATGTCTATCCAATCTATCCGTCTGTGCGTGTGTGCGTCCGTGTGTTCGTGTCTAGAAATGGCCCCGGTCACTCCCTTTTATAGTCGAAGGGGGGACCAGAGTGGTACATGTGTTCGCTACGCAGCGTCTTGTAGGCGGAGATGGCGTGTCCGAGCCCTGTAGCTATCTACTGTGGTGGTATGGTCGATGGAGCGGCCCTGTCCTTGATGTGCTGGAGCAATGTGCCGGTCACACCCGATCCTGTGCGTCGTGGGAGCTCCAGTGACAGCTTGCCGCAGGGTATGGCGGGCGACGTGCCGGTCACTGTGTGTTGACGATATAAGGAGTCGAGGCTCAGTTGGTGCCGAGGCCGAGCCATCGTGGGGGGCTCGGCGGGCGTGAATCCCGAGGCTGCCGAGCCCCTGAAGCGGATTGCCGAGGCTTGGAGGGAGCAGTTGGTCTTGGGTACTGATTCCGAGACTACAGTTACCTGGACGTGGCTCCCCATGCCGCGTTGTTCTCGGAGCAGGAGTTAGGTGGCATAGTGTGGTACGGACGTCAGTTACGAGCGCAGTGCCGTGCACAGTGGCCGGTAACTCCTGCCCAGTCTTATCTCCTGTCCCGTCGGCCACTCCGTTGTACCGCGCCGTCGTGCAGCTGACGTTGCGGGAGTGGTTGGATGCACAGATCGGACGTGACGTTTTGTCAGAGAAGTCGGTCGCGATGGAGGTGACGAGGTTGTTGCCGAGCCCGCCTCGTGCGAGGCGGAGAATCGGTGCCTTGTCCGAGGCCTTACGGACGAGGTCTCGGTCGAATCGGAGAATCAGTAACTCGTCCGAGGCCTCACGGGCGAGTCGGAGAGTTGGTACTTCGTCCGAGGCCTTATGGTTTGGGGCCTCGGGCGAGGGGGCCTCGGCCGAGGCGGGGTGGTGGTACCTCATCGAGGCCTTGCAGTGAGGGGGCCTTGGACGAATCTGAGAATCGGCCGAGGCCCGTGGTTGTTACTTGGCTTCGGTATTTATAAGGTCTAAGCAGTTATTTCGGTTCTTGCTTAGGGTACCCCTTCTCATGGTATCCGACAGTAGCCCCCGAGCCTCGGGGGGAGTGTGAGCACTCTCCCTGAGGTTTTGATGAGACTTGGCTCACGGCAGTTCCTGGCGGGATGGTGTTTCGTACTCGAGGCTTCAGTGGGTGCGCGCGAGCGCACCCACCAGGTGTAGCCCCCGAGGCCCTGGAGGAATGGATTTATTCCTCCAGGGGCTTTTTCCCTGTTGAATGAGGGGTTTTATCACGTTTGCCGAGCCCTCGAGTGCGAGTTCGGGTCGCTGGGTTTTGGCTTAGTTTGCAGGAAGAGCCCCCGAGCCTTTGTGCGAAGCTAGACGGCGGTCAGGAGTTCCCCTGGCTTTTTCGTACGGCCCTCACGCATCCTTTTTTTTCGAAAGGAGGGGTGGAGTATGCCATGCTACCCTCGGTGGGCGCGAGCAAAGACATCTCCGGTGAGCTGTTATCGGGTAAGTCCGAGTGGAGGCCCGTGCCCCGTTCGATAGGGGTTGGCTAGCGGTCCAGAGACGCACTCCAAAAGTACCAGAGGACTTCTCTAGTGGGTCCTAGGGTCATTCGATTGGCCCTTAGGGCTCGATGCCTCCCTACGGTGGGATCCCATTCGGAGACCTCCCTGCCGGTCTCGGACACGACTTAGGGCATCCCAAGCAATCGCTCGCTCAGGCCTCGGCCATGTACGGGCTCGCCCATAGTCATCCCTGACTCTGTTTGTCCTAGGGCGGCTGTCGAAACCTGTGGGGGCCTAGCCTTCGAACCCCTGGACCGTAATGGGCTCGGTGCCCTTCGTCGTGTTTTTCCGAGCTTCCGAGTGCGAGCTTGGGTTGCTTGTCTTCGTCCTGGGTGCAGTTTTTATGTGACCTCCGCACATCCTTTTTGAAAGGAGAGGTTGTATGCCGAGCCCTCGGGTGCGAACGTGGGTCGCTGGGTCTCGGCATGGTAGCAGGAAGAGCCCCCCTCTGCTCGGAGCAAGAGGGCGATCTGGAGCTCTCCCTGCTTTTTGTGCGACCCTCACGCATCCTTTTTGTTCGGAAGGAGGGGTTGTTTGCCGGACCCTCGAGTGCGAGCCTGGGCCGCTGGGTCTCAGCAAGGTTGCAGGAAGAGCCCCCGAGCCTCCGCACGGAGCGAGAGGGCGATCAGGAGTTCTCCTGGCTTTTTATGCGACCCTCGTGCATCCTTTTCGTTCAGAAGGAGGGGTTGTTTGACGGACCCTCGAGTGCGAGCCTGGGTCGCTGGGTCTCGGCAAGGTTGCAGGAAGAGCCCTCGAGCCTCTACACGGGCGAGAGGGCGATCAGGAGTTCCCCTGGCTTTTTGTGCGACCCTCATGCATCCTTTTCATTTGGAAGGAGGGGTGGAATATGTCAGGCTACCCTCGGTGGGTGCGAGCGGTGACACTTCCGGTGAGCTGTTATCGGGTAAGTCCGAGTGGAGGCCCGTGCCCCATTCGATAGGGGTTGGCTAGCGGTCCATAGACGCACTCCAAAAGTACCAGAGGGCTTCTCTAGTGGGTCCTAGGGCCGTTCGCTTGGCTCTGGGGGCTCGATGCCTCCCTACGGTGGGATCCCATTCGGAGACCGCCCTGCCGGTCTCGGACATGACTTAGGGCATCCCGAGCGATCGTTTGCTCGGGCCTCGGCCATGTACGAGCTCGCCCATAGTTGTCCCTGACTCTGTTGTCCTAGGGCAGCTGTCGAAACCCTCGGGGGCCCAGCCTTCGAACCCCTGGACCGTAGCGGGCTCGGTGCCTAGTTCCTTCGTCTGAAAGGAATCGAGTGGGGGATATTCCCTCCCGTCGGCTGACAACGGCAGACGCGCCTTTTGAGGTGGTTTTCTCGAGGAGGCGGAACGGCACCTGCCGCTGCTGTGGTCGGATGCGACGTGGTGTCAGCGGATGGGACATAACTGTGCGTGCGATTAATGAGGAAAAGGTGGGCGCGTGGGCGGTAAATTCCGATCTGGATAACTATATCAGATTTGAGGGAAACTTCCCTGATTTCATCGCCCATCCATTTCGCCCCCTCCCTGCATAAATACGTAACGAGCCTCGCCCCTCCTCTCCTTACCTTACTTGCATCCACCTTTGCTGCCCTCGAGCCGTTTGTTAAGAACAGAGAGCGTCAGAGAGAAGAAGGGAGAAGGGGGAGGAAGAGAGGGAGAGAGCGAGCCCTACCGCCGTAGTCACATTCTCCACCGCACTCATGGCCGGTGTCGTTCTCCTCTAGGCGGATCCTTGGGATCGGTCTGACGTATCCGTGGAGACGCTGCAGTCGCTCATCGACGACGGTCTTCTCCGCCCGGTCACCGACCCCAACAGGCCGGAGTGGATTGCTCCGGGGCCTGAGCTGGAGCCGAGGCCATGCGATGGCTACGTTGTGAGCTTCGTGTCCTTCCATGAGCGTGGTTTCAGCCTGCCGGCAGACCGGTTCATGCGGGCGCTCCCGCACTACTACGGCGTGGAGCTTCATAACTTCAACCCCAATTCCATCGCGCAGGCGGCCATCTTCATCGCCGT